GCGCTGAGCCGGGTCCTGGCCGAGCGCTGCCTGCGAGCACTCGCCCGCTGCCTGCATCCTCCCTTTAGGCTCCCGGGGGACTCAGGAATCCAGGAATTAGATGACTTTTCTTTGTTTTCATCAGCAGACGACCCCCTCATCATTTGTAACTAAATACGCTTATCATGTTTATGAAGAGCCATTTCTAATACTATTAAGTAGGCGAAAGTTAAATGGAGCTTTTGGCTCGGCTGCGCTCCCGAGCCGGGCCTGATGACCTTTTATATTTGGTTTTTGAACCCTAAAATATTTATGTCGATCATTTGTTAAACTGAAGAGGGAGAATCGAGGTCAGGAGTTGGCCTTTCTCTTGCCTTCTAGAGCAGTGATTCTAAGACTTGGGTCTTTGGACCCCCTTTAGAAATCAAAGTAAAACTTATTTATTTTTTTAGATAACCTGTTACAAGGATAAGTAACATTTTGAGAAAAATAACCATTTTCTAAAGTATTGAAGAGTGGCGTTGTGTTCAATTTACAGACCTCTTTAATGGCTGGCTAAATAGAAGACAACTGAATTCTCTTAGCTGTTTGTCTTAGCAATTTATTTTTTTCTAGAAAACTTTTTAATCAGAATAGTACATTACAAGAATATTAGTGACGTGTTTTGGATCATTCTCTTTTGTTTTTTTTTAAATCAATTATTTGCTAAAACTATTAAAAGCAATATATACGACACGAAGTATCATAATATTGATGACCAATATTATGTGCCAATAATGGCATTAAATGCAACATGGTCATTTGAAGTTAGTTTGATTTCTTAAATATGGGTTTCCGGCAGCATAAAGGTGTTTGCATAAAATGTGCTGCTCCGAATTTGAATTATAGCTTAAGGAATACAGTTTTTGGTTAATCGTTAGATCCAAAACCTCCCCACTATTTTTAGTGCCAGTAAAGTGATCTCATGATTTTTTTAAATTTATTTTCTAATTGACAGAAAAAAAATTGTATGTTCTTAATGGTGTGTAACATGATTTTTTGAAAATTGTGTACAAATGACCAAATTGAGCTAATTAACATATGCATACTTCTTGTGGTGCATTTTTAAATCTACTCTGAGCAGTTTTCAAGTATGCCATACATTGTCATTAACTTTAGTCACTATGTTGTAGAATAGATCTCTTAAATTTATTCCTCCTGTCTGAGATGTATCCTTTCACCACTATCTCCCCGAGGACCATCTGCAAGTAGTGGTAACTGCCACTCTACTCTATGCCTCTACGGTTTCCACATATTTAGATTCCACATGTAAGTGAAATCATGCATTTGTCTTTGTGTGCCTGGCTTATTTCATTTAACGTATTGCCCTCGATGTTTACAATCTTAATGTTTCTTGGTCTTTAGTATGACCTTCTATTTGTCTAAAATTTTGATGACTTTTTTTTTGAGTTGAAGTTTTACTCTGTCGCCCAGGCTGGAGTGCAGTGGCACACTCACGACCACCCTAGTGTCAACCAACTGGGTTCTGGCTATGCTTCCACCTTGCAAGTAGCGGGAACTACAGGAGCACGCTACCACCGCCAGGTTTATGTTTGATTTAAGTAGAGACGCGGTCTTAGCCAAGTTCTCTGGGCTGGTCTCGAACCCACAGGCTCAGGCAGTCCACTCACCTCAGCCTCCCAAAGTGCTAGGATTACTGGTTGAGCCACCAGCCCCCAAGCCGGTCTGATGACTTTTTATATTTGGTTTTGGAAGCCTAAAATATGTCAGTCATCTGGTTAAACTGAAGTAGAGAAAATTGAGGTCAGGAGTTGACTTTTCTTTTGCCTTCTAAAGGAGTGATTCTAAAACTTCTTGGTCTTTGGATCCCCTTTAGACTCTTAAAAATGATTAAAGATCCTAAAGAGCTTTTGTAATTTACTTTTTAAATAACCTGTTACACATAAGGATAAGTAACATTTTGAGAAAAATAACCATTTCCTAAAAAATATTGAGAAGAGTGGTGTTTTCAATTTACAGATCTCTTTAATAGCTGGCTAAATAGAAGACAACTGAATTCTCTTAGCTGTTTCTGTATTCAGTCTATTGAGTTATGTTACTTTGAAGTATTTTAAGAAAATACAGCTTTTAACAGATATATAGTTAAGAGGAATACTTACTAGATTTTTTAGTTCATTGAGGTTGCTGTCCTTTAATATTAAAACAAAGCTCAACAAGTAAGGTTAGTTACAACTTGGAATCTTCCCATATCAGTAATTTTTGGGTACTCTGTTACATTAAAATTCATTGGTCTATTTTGTACTTTGGATTTTACTTATGCGTGATTAATTGATTTTACATCATGCATTGATTATTTGGAAAGCATTCACAGAGTTTGCAGATCTTGCAAATGTTGGTACATTTTGTTACACAATACCAAAAAATTGCTTAATATCACCACTAATCTCATTTGTCTTTCAATTATTGGGAAATGGTCAAGTTCACAGTGGAGGATATAAGTTTCCCGAAAATTCCAGTTTTCATTTGAAATCTCTCATTCTGGAAATTTCATTTGAAATCCGTTATTCTGGATTTCATTTGAAATCTCTCATACACATGACTTGGCTTGTGTTTGTAAAAACACTTGTCAGGTAGCCGTGTCTTAATAATTCTTTCAAATAAAATGATTTTCTCCTCGAAAACAGTGACTAGTTCAGCTTGCAACTCAGTCACACAAATGCTTTTCCTTAAGACAACTATTGCATTTCAGTATGCAGCAAAAGTATCTTATGTATATGTCCATTTTGGCACAAAGAATATTTAATATATGACTTAAAGTTCAAGATTTAAGAAAATAATTTTGTAGTGCTTCATGAAAGACAACTGGCTTAATTTTTCTGCCAATGTGTAGTGATGAAAAATTCAGCTACTACTACAAATTGATTCTTACAAAGGGGCCAGCAGTTTTACCCATTACTGCTTTTGCTTCATTATATTAATATCAACACAGTGAAAAGAACAAATAATGTCATTAAGATTAAAGTAGCTTTGATTTTATGGACTCTGTGAAAGGGTCTCAGGGACCTCCAACGATTGATGGACCGTGCTTTGAGAACCACTGTTTCAGTGTTAATCCACTTTGGGAACAGGCAAGAGTTATCATAATGGCAGTAGCTAAGAAAAATGGGAGCTGCAGCTATATCCCCTTAATCCTTGTAAGTTTTTATTTTACCCCAGAGTTTTTTGACTTCTATGTAGGTCTTCTAGTTAAGGTAAAAAAATTGAGTGCTAGCCGGGCTCGGTGGCTCAGCCTGTAATCCCGCGCTTTTTGGAGGCTGAAGTGAGTGGATTGCCTGAGCCTGCGGGTTCGAGACCCGCCTGGGCAACTTGGCGAGACCTCATCTCTACAATAAATCAAAAATTAGCCGGGCATGGTAGCGCACGCCTGTTGTT